TCAAGAGCAAGCTAGGAAGACCAGCAGCAATGGAACAGTACCATGCAATAGTGGTACTGTTGAGAACAACAAAAATGATGAACCAACGGAAGTCAAATCGAATCAATCATGGGCAAATGTGGTCGCAGGAAATAAACTTGTTATGAAGGGTATGAACCTGTAATTTGTGGCACCAATAGTTCAAAATGGAGAGAAAATAGCAAAACTAGAAGTTGAGGATGTTGAGCAGGAGAATGAAAAATGGAGATCTGCAGTTGTTCTGTACGTGATAGGGGATTCGCCTACCATTGGAGCTATGGAAAGGTTTCTTAGCTCAGTGGGCAAGTTCTCAAGGAAACCACAGATTTACTACCATAACGAGGGATATTTTGTGATTAGATTCAGCAATCTGGAGGAAAGGGATCAAATACTGTATTCTGGGCCTCATACAGTGAATAATAAGCCTATAATTATGAAGGCATGGACTGAAGATTTCAATATTCATGACGAGGTGTTGAAGACTATTCCATTATGGGTAAGGTTTCCTAATCTGCCTCTTAATTGCTAAAGCATGAAAGCTCTAAGCAAGATAGGAAGTACTTTGGGGAACCCAGTGTATGCAGATGAATGTACCACTGGGACAATGAGGATCTCTTATGCACGTATGTTAATTGAAATGGATATAACCATACCTCTGCCTAGAAGTGTAAAAGTACAGGATCCTAAGGGAAACTAATTCAGTAAGAGGTAGTCTATGATTGGGAACCAACATATTGTGCTAAATGTCTGAAAATAGGACATGATTATGTTGTGATAAGGAAGGAGCAACCACAAAGAATGGTCCAACAAAGGAAAATAGCTACAGGAAAACAGGTGTGGCTAAGAACAGATAGGAATGAAACAAATGAAAAGAAAGAACCAGATCAAAAGGCAACAATAGAAGCAGTCCAGTAGGGAGAATCTGTACTAGCAGAGAAAGAAATGCAAGAAAGGGAAGAAGGGTGGATTACAGTACTTGGAAAATCAGCAGCAAGAGCATCTAAGGCTAAACAAAATGAGGACCAGGGAGCTGCAGAAAAACAAGAGACTCAAAGCATGCACAGCAGAATCAATTGTGATGTACCAGGTACAAGCAAAGTGCAAACGAGCAGTATAGGGGAACATGAGATTTATTATAAACCTCTTTTCATACCAATATGAGTGTGATAACTTGGAATATTAGGGGTTTGAATAAAACATATAAGCAAAAGGAGGTGAGGGAGTTCATAAGAAATAATAATAAAGCTATAATAGCATTGGTTGAGCATAGAGTAAAGAAGCATAGAGAAAATGAGATAACAAAAAAATAGCACATGGTTGGCACTGGATATCAAATGCTAGTTCAAACAATAAAAGTAGAATATGGGTACTATGGGATCCTAGAATATATAAATTTGATCTGGAAGAGCTTGATGAGCAGTTGGTACATGGGCAGGTTAGTATTTTATCAAGGGCAATCACATTTGGCTTTTCAGCAATATATGGGCTGCATACTATAAAAGATAGGCTAAGTTTGTGGAGGAAGATGAGACAAATACACAGCACACAACAGGGCCCATGGCTAGCAATGGGAGACTATAATGTTATCCTACAGGCAGAGGATAGGGAGCATGGTACTGAGGTGCAAGATATAGAGACAAGAGATTTTAAGGAGTTTTTGATTGATACAATAATGCATGAACTTCAATATGTGGGAAGGAACTATACATGGACTAATAATCACACTTACAGTAAAATAGATAGGGGTTTGGTAAATGCAGATTGGATGATGATGATGCCTAATATGAAAGTGCAGGTACTAGAGCCACATGTGTCTGATCACTCACCTTTAAAACTAATGATAGCACAAGTGCAGGGGAGGAAGAAGAGACCATTCAGATTCTTTGATTGTATGGCTGACCACCACCAATTCCTACAGAAAGTGGACCAAGTCTGGGAAGAAAAGTAAGAGGGGTATGATGCAAACAGTATGGAACAAGCTGAAGAGGGTAAAGGAAGTTATCAAAGATATCAACACAAAACATTACAAAGGAGTAGATGAGAGAATAAAAAGAATCAGGGAGGATCTCCAGTCAACTCAGAAAGAAATGAGTTCTAAGTTACAGAGGCAAGAACTAATTGAGAAGGAAAAAGCACTAAAGGGTGACCTAGAAAAATGGATTCTGATTGAGGAATGCATATATAGACAGAGATCAAGAGTGCAATGGCTTAAGCTGCGAGATTCAAACTCAGCTTACTTCTTTGCTCAGATGAAGAACAGAAGTAATTAGAATGGGATTCAAGTTATCACTAATGACATGGGGGTCCAGCTAGTGTTGGAAGATGATATTGAGGCAGAAATCATGTGGTACTATAAGAAGTTATTGGGTTCAAGTGCTGAAAGTCTTCCAGCTATCAATCCAAATGATATGAAAAGGGGACCAGTTTTGAGCAGGGAACATCAGCTACTCCTTGTCAAGCAAGTGTCCAAGGAAGAGATATGGGAAGCAATGAAGGATATAAATGATCTTAAAGCTCCTGGTTATGATGGACTAAATGTTGTTTTCTTCAAGAAATCCTGGCCAATCATTGGTCAGGATGTGATAAAGGCTGTACAGGAGTTCTTTGAGTCAAACCAAATGTTTAGACCTATCAATTGCACTGTCATTACCTTAATACCTAAAGTTAGGAATCCTGCAAGTGTCAAAGATTATAGGCCCATCTCATATTGTACAGTCCTGTACAAAGTGATATCAAAGATTCTTACCAAGAGACTACAGTGTGTAATGGACTTCCTGATTGATAGTTCACAAGCAGCATTTGTTCCTGGCAGAGTTATAACAGACAATATTATTTTGAGCCATGAACTGGTGAAAGGATATGGGAGGAAAGGGATATCACCAAGATGTATGATGAAGCTGGACATGCAAAAAGCCTATGACTCAATAGAATGGGACTTTATGGAGCAGATATTATATGCACTAGCCTTCCCAGAACAGTTTGTAAGACGGATCATGACATGCATGAGAACTGTGACATATACAATCATGATAAATGGTGCACTAACTAAGCCATTTGATGCTAGGAAGGGACTGAGACAAGGAGACTCACTTTCACCCTTTCTATTTATGCTTGCAATGGAGTATTTGAAAAGGAAACTAAAGAAACTGGCAGAGATCCCAAACTTTAATTTCCACCCCAAGTGTGCTAAGATGCAAATCTTACAACTTGGTTTTGCTGATGATCTCTTATTGTTTTGCAGGGGAAACATTGGATCAGTCAAATTATTATTCCAATGCTTTATGTACTTCTCAAAGGTATCTGGACTGATGATTAATAAGAACAAAAGTTCAATGTTCTTTGGAGGAGTTACACAAGATGAGCAGGAGGAGATCCTAGAATTTCTGGGAATTCGGAGAGGTACTTTACCAGTCAGATATCTTGGTGCACCCCTGAGTTCCAAAAGAATCTCCATAACACGATGCCAGCCACTTATTGACAAAATAATGGGAAGAATCACTTCATGGACTGCCAAGTTCTTATCCTATGCAGGAAGGATCCAACTCATTAAAAGTGTCATGTTCTCCATTCAAACATACTGGGCCCAAATTTTTGTTCAACCAAAGAAGATCATAAAAATAATTGAGGCAATGTGCAGAAGTTTCCTATGGACGGGGCAAGGTACAGTGTCAAAGAAAGCACTATTAGCATGGGAGAAAATATGTATGCCAAAGTGAGCGGGTGGATTTAATATTATGAATATAGCAATCTGGAATAAAGCTGCTATATGTAAGCAATTCTGGAATTTATGTAAGGAGAAAAAGAAGCTGTGGATACAATGGGTACATGGATACTACATCAGAGGAAGAAACATCTGGACAATACACTTAAAGCAAACTTCATGGATGGTAGGTATCATGAAGGCACAGAAGACTATGATGGATGCTGGTTTCAGCTATGATGATATCATAAACATGAACAGATGCACTATCAAACAAATCTACCACAGGCTGCGAGGTACGTTTGAGAAAGTAAGTTGGAGGAAAGTAGTTTGCCACAATGAAGGGTGTCCCAGATGGAATTTTGTGCTAACTATGACTGCTCATGGAAGACATTACACAAAGGATAGACTGCAAAAATAGGGAATACAAGTTGATCAAGAGTGCATATTATGCAACAGTGAAAAGGAAACCATACAACATCTATTTTTGAATGCCCATATGCAGAAACACTATGGAGCAAACTCTTAACATGGTAAGGCATTGGCAGACCAGTACAAGGGTGGGATGAGGAGCTAAAATGGGCAGAGAAATGGGCCAAAAGGAAGACTGCAACAGCTGAACTACACAAAATGGTGCTGGCAGCTGCAATTTACTATGTGTGGCAGGAAAGAAATGGTCGAATTTTTAAAAACAAGACAAGAGGATGGGAGACAGTTTGCAAACTAATAACACAAGAGATACATTGTTGTAGTAACAAGAGAGTAGAGAAAATTTTGCAAAAATTAGATTGGTATCCAATGTAATAGATGTATATGATCGATAACTGGAGGGGGGGGAGTTAGTAGGATAAGTAGATATGTAAGGGTTTGATTTACTCTGTAAATATTTTCCTTGGTAAATGAAAGAATTAATTACCAAAAAAAAAAAGATTTTTACTTTTATTTATTCATTTTGACATATCAATAATTTACTTCTTCATGTTTTGCCTTCAGTATTAATTATTTATTTTAAATTATTTTTAAATCCATTAAGACAATATACACTAAGTAATATGGGTATCATATATAGTAAATTATATATTTTATTTATTATTTTTTAAGAGGTATACAAAGTTAATAGTAATCATGTAAAAGTGAACGGAGAGAATATATAACTTCAATATGACGCAGAATTTGACTTAGCTTTGAAAATTGCATCTTTGAACAAGTCCTCCATTGTTCATTTGACCTTTCTTCTCACCCCCTTCTTTTTTCCCATATATATATATTATTATATATATTTACGCACTCCAATTTGTTGTCATATCTATATTCTACACTACCATATATCAAACTACTCTTTCACCCCTTCAAAAATAGTACTAAAAGAAGAAGAAAGAAAATCTTTGAGCACTTGATATATTAAAGTTTCTTCTTCGTCGTCTATCAAGTAGTTTGGGCAGATGGCTAAAGAACGGTCGATGGAGGCAACTCCCACTTGGGCAGTTGCCGTAGTTTGCTTCATCTTGCTCGCTCTTTCCATTTTCATTGAACAAATTATTCATCATCTTGGAGAGGTATATATATTACATTATAACTTTTTTGGGAGTTTAATGCTACCTAGCTAGTTTTGCAAAATCAGACTGCTAATTAATTAATTCGTTGTTCAGATTATAGAATGAATTAATATTACTGCCCAAAATTAAAGGGGGTGAAAATTTTCTAGATTGATCTGTCAGTTTGTTGATGGAGACTTGATTTATTTGGTTTGCAGTGGTTGTTGAAAAAACATAAAAAACCTCTTTATGAAGCACTTGAAAAGATCAAAGCAGGTAATTAAAAGTAGAGTTTTTTAATTTTATTTCATATATATATAGTTCAATGTATATGTGTACTGACTGACATTTTAACGTAATTACAGAACTGATGTTGTTGGGATTCATATCACTGCTGTTGACAGTGGTGCAAACCCCAGTTTCTAACTTATGTGTGCCCAAGAGTGTTGGTTATTCTTGGCATCCATGTAAGGCTGATGAAGATGCCAAGTCTAAATATGATGACCCTTGTCTACCAAAGGTACAATTATATTATATTGTGTTTATTGATTTTAAGTATTATTTTTTTTCTTAAAGAAAATTTTATTTATGCAGGGAAAAGTCCAATTTGCATCTTCATATGCAATACACCAGCTCCATATCTTCATCTTTGTCTTGGCAGTTGCTCATGTATTATACTCTATAGCAACTTTTGCTTTGGGCAGGCTAAAGGTATTAATTTGTTTTTCACGTGAACATGTTCTACTTCGGTTCGGTCAATTATATTAATCCTATTAATTCTATTTGAAACCACGTACAGATGAGAAAATGGAGGGCTTGGGAGGATGAAACAAAAACAATTGAGTACCAATTCTACAACGGTTGGTATACTTTAATTTAAATTAATGAAACTCAACACTTCACCCCAGTAAATATTTACCCACACCGGGTGTTTACACCAAACTATATTAACTCATTATGATTAATTAATTTAATTAGATGAGAATGCATGTAATTTACCATGGTTAAATGATTGAAGTTCATATGCAAGACACATGTCATATATCTATTGGTTTGGTGTAAACACCCGGTACGGAGTTAAATTGTGTATATTTCTATCTTTCGGTTTTTTATACGCTAATAATATAAGGAAAAAACTTTTACTATCAACTCACTTAACTCTATTCATAACAATAAATTAATTATATGAAAATGAAGACAAGTAATTTATTAAATTAATTTATTGTATAAGCATCCATGTGCATGGTAAATTTATTAAATTAGTTTATTGTATGAGCATCCATGTGCATGGTTGGTGAATATAAGGCCCGTTTGGCCATAATTTTTTTTTTTTTTTACTTTTTTCTGAATTTTATTTATTTTTTCCAAAATCATTGTTTGGCCATAACATTTTCAATTTTCACTTGAATATGAATTTTGAAATTTTTTAAATTTTTGAAAAACTCCAAAAGCTATTTTTTTTAAAAAAATAAAAATTTACTTCAGATCACTCACAAAATTCAAAAACGGCCCAAAATGATATTCATATCCAAACACAACTCTAATTTCAAATATCAATTTCACTTTAAAAGAAAAAAAAAATTCAGTATTTCACTATTCTTATGTCCAAGCGCCCACTGAGTTAAGTCCTACTTTAAAACAGGTTTAGAAACTTTTTTTAACTTTTGCTACAAGAAAACAAGGCTGAAAATTGATGGGGCATTTAACTACTTGTTGATGTGAAATCCAAGTGCTATTGGATATGGATAGATAATATGTGTAGGAAATCATTTGCAAGTTGTATTGCGCGTTGCAACTTCGCCCTCTTTCACACCTAATTTCTTACAAACTTGACCGACATTTATAAAGTTCATTTATTTATATTCCTTATATTTTCTGCACGTCCCTCTTGAAACTAATGATTCCCTTTTAAATTGTTATATATATAAAATGACCAGATAAAGACGTTTTTTTAGTTTCTTGTGAACAAGTGCAGATCCAATGACATACGAGCAACTCATATATATATATATATATATATATATATATATATATATATATATATATATATATATATATATATATATATATATATAAAAGGTGATGCTAAGGATCACTGTGCTAGCTGTAAGCCTACCTGTAACATAAAAAATATATTTTGACAGTGTGATTATAGTAGTCATAATGTGTAAGCCACTCAATTGGTACCACATTAATTTAAAACGATGTAATTATTATTAGTATTATTTGATTCTTGCAAATCCTGAGGAATTCAGATTTTTATTATTTTTACAGATCCAGAGAGGTTCAGATTTGCAAGAGAGACGTCATTTGGACGTAGGCATTTGCATTACTGGAGCAAGTCGCCAGTGCTACTCTGGATAGTCAGTCCTCCCCTCTCTCTCTCTCTCCAGTTTTTCTTAGCCCGTTTTGACATAAGAATTTTTTTACTTTTTTTCGAAAAAATTTCATTTTTTTTTTCGAAATTAGTGTTTGGCAATAAAAATTTTAATTTTCACTTGAAGATGAATTTTTAAAATTTTTATAATTTTTAAAAATTTGAAAAACTCTAAAAGGTTGTTTTTCAAAATTTTCACTCAGATCACTCACAAAAGTTCAAAAACAACCCAAAATTATATTCATACTCAAACACAACTCTAATTTTTAAATATCATTTTTACTTGATTTTTTTTGGAATTTTACAAATCTTATGCCCAAACGCCCACTTAAAGTGAAAATTGAAGATCATTTCAACGGATACATAAATAGTTTAAAGATTCATTACAATATTAATGTAGTTTAATATGTGAGTATTAATTTTACCAAGTTATCAATCAGTAATTACTTATTATAGAGATTTATCACTAATTACCTAATAAGTGATATATATAATTTTTACACTGCTCATGAACTGTTTGTGTGACTTACCATTATGTTTTGGATTATATTTACAGGTTTGTTTCTTCAGGCAATTCTTCTCATCAGTAGCAAAAGTTGACTATCTAACCCTTAGACATGGGTTCATGATAGTAAGTCACTTTAATTTGCAATACAAAAATTATGCAATATCCCAAATAATATATACTATCATATATTGCATGCCAATATTAATTCCTAAATTAACTTTGGTCCATACCAGGCACATTTAACTCCACAAAATCAAGAAAATTTTGATTTCCAAATATACATCAATAGAGCAGTTGAAAAAGACTTCAAATTTGTTGTGGAAATAAGGTGTACATCTTCTCTCTCTTTCTCTTTGTTTCTCTTTTCTCTTACATTTTTTCAGAATCTTTTTATTAAATATTGCCTTGCCATTGCTTTAAAACTTATACTAAATTTACCGTCGTTTATTGTGCAGTCCAGCATTATGGCTCTTCACAGTACTATATTTTCTAACCACTACCAATGGTAAGACTATCTAACTGACGATGTCACATACAGTATCTAATTTCACCAAATGGTCATTAAACTATTTTTATAATACTAAAATTATTATAAAAAAAAAAAGATTGTAACAATAAAATTACTAAAATAATTATTCGTAACACTAAAGTCTTAAAATAAGTTTTTGTAATAGTAAAGTCACTAAACTATAATTTTTTGTTCCTTTTAATTTTAATGTTTCATTAATTATTTATGTTTAAAATAGTTTATGCAAATGTAAGGGGTCGTTTGGTAGGAGGGTATTAGAAAAAATATGCAAGCATTAGTTCTGTGCATTATTAATACCTTGTTTGATACATTTTTTCGACCTGTGTATTACTAATGCTTGTATAATTAGTTATACATCATACTTGGTATTAACCTATGTATTAGTAATGCATAGAAAACCATGACATTAGTAATACCAAGGATGTTAAAGTATGCATTAGTATGGTTAAAGATAAAATTATCCTTAAAGTCCCTTAATGCTAGAGAATATGGAGGGCATTTTTATAAACAACTATTTTTCTTAAAAATTATGCAATGCATATAATTTTTAATACACCACACCAAACAGTAGATAAGAAATAATATCTGCATAACTAATGCTTGCGTTACTAATCCCTACATTATTAATACACATTATTTCACATTATTCTTGTACACTCTACCAAACGATCCCTAAAAAAATTTCTCAGGTGGCATAAACAAAGTGACTAAATGATGACGTTGCAATGCCATGTCATTCTCCAGAGGCGGAAATTTGATTCTCCGGTGATGTATATTGTCCAGGCAACTAAAACATACTCTAGTAGTTCAGTGATTTTACTTTTATAAAACTAGTTTGGTGATAAAAATTAATTTTGTAACTTTAGTATTATACAAAATGTAAAGTTAGTGACCATGAGTGAAATTAACCCATGAAATACTTAGTAACTGAAAGAATGCATTAGAATTATTTAAAGAAACCATATCCAATTGAAACTGAATGGAATTTCTTCCTCTTTGTGGACAGGATTGTACTCGTACCTTTGGGTGCCATTTATCCCGTTAGTAGTAAGTAATTCGTTCATTTAGTTATTATTCATTTCTTATGGACGAAAGTATATATAATTATTACTAAGAATATATTTTCTAACATATAATTGGGCAGATAATATTGCTAGTTGGCACAAAACTTGAAATGATAATAGCAGAAATGGGAGTAAGGATTTTAAAGAGGGGAGACATAGTGAGAGGTGTACCAGTGGTGGAGACAGGTGACCATCTTTTCTGGTTCAACCGACCTGCCTTTGTCCTTTTCTTGATTAACTTTGTGCTCTTTCAGGTATCTTTTCTCCCTATTTTTTTACTTTAAAATAAAATAATACTCTTTCCTTGTTCTAATTTATATGATGCAGCAGTTCAGGTTTTCAGAGTCAAACGAATTTTTTTTAATCGAGTTCTCTGCATGTGCCTTTTAAATATTTCGAATTGTTAATCATTATGACTTAAAGTACTTCTTATTTAGTTTTCAAATATATAAATTTTATTTAAAAGATTTTATGATCGAATTTGCATTCAAAATTGAGAAATTTAATTCTCAAAATTCAAACTGCATCACATAAATTGTGATAGATGGAGTAATTGTAAAAACTCTCGAACTTGGAATTCCATAATGATTTTTTCCTTCATATTTGTGGTTTTTCAGAATGCATTTCAAGTTGCTTTCTTCGTTTGGAGTTGGGTAAGGAGTTGGAATACAAATTTTCTTTTTTGGTGTTATTTTTTTCTAATGTAATTTGAATTCCTAATCCTGAATATTTTTCTTTTCTTTGTCAACTTTTCAGTGGAAATTTGGTTACCCATCTTGCTTCCACCAGAATGCTGCAGATATAGCCATAAGGCTGACCATGGGGTGAGTTTCACTGCCAGAAAACACACTATCTATGTAATGTCATATTCATATATGTTTAAAAAAATTCAAAATTGAAAAGATGATTTTGACCTTGGCTGATATAGGTTAATCAATGACCATTTTCTTTTCTGCCACATGATTTTCCTAAAATATTATATTAAAAAACGATGGTCAATCAATACTCGAACGATTAAAGATGCATATTTTACTTCCTTTTATATTGATAGTTTTTGTTTCTTGTTTCAGGGTGATCATACAGGTCCATTGCAGCTATGTGACTCTCCCTCTTTATGCCTTGGTAACACAGGTAAACTTGTCTTCATTTTCACAATAATATAAAGATAAATTACGCAAACAAAGTTTAGCATTAGTGCTGAGAGATTTGATGAAATTTGCAGATGGGAACATCAATGAAACCTATAATCTTTGGTGATAATGTGGCAACAGCTCTTAGAAGCTGGCACAACACGGCGAAAAAGCGGGTGAAACATGGCCGGCTATCGGAAAACACCACCCCTGTCTCCAGCAGACCGGCCACACCGTTGCATGGTACCTCCCCGGTTTACTTATTACGCAGTTACCCACAATATAGTAATGAGGAGAGTCGGACATCCAATGCAGAAAATGAAAGCTGGGCTAATGAAATATCAACCTCTCCTCGTAGACACATTGAGAATATTAAAGATGATGATCATCAGGAGGGAGAAATCCATGCCTCCAGCTCGATGCAACGTCCTCATCCTGATCAGCATCAAGTTGAGATTACATTGTCAGAATTCACATTTGGCAACAAAACGAGTTGAGATTACATTGTCTGAATTCACATTTGCCAACAAAATGAGTTGAGATTACATGGTTCATACATATCTGCTTGTTGCGCCAATTATTGTATGTCAGAAGACATCTACTGAAAGCATATATGAAAGAAAGGAATTCAAGCATCTATAACTTCACAAAGAAATTTAAGGGCCAGGGATCCTAATATGCATGAAAACTATGATCTAACTATTAAACCAAATATAAAGCTATCCATAAACAAACCAAGTAGATCATCGATTTAAGTTTGAAGGCAACGAAATTAACCAGCATAAACGTCGTACTTGAAATGATATTTTAGGTAATTCCACCTGTTATATCAAAAGAGTTCCCCATTTATCAACTGCATAATATAATGTTGTACGAATTAAGATAGGACGTCTGATAGAAAAGCATAATATTTTAGTTAAAACCTTGATGTAGAATTAGCTACAGTCACTGATCAACAACAAACTCAAATTAACTCGAAAGTAAAACGGATATCGTCGGCTCAGGAAATTTGGCTCTTTCCTCAGCTGTATCTGAAATTTCATGGTTGTTGAAAGTAACCAAACTCTAGTTAGCAACTTTATATTTCACACAAATATACGTTTCACATCTAAAAGGAGTAATGCATAATGGAGGTGCTTTTTCTGCATGTGAAATCGAAACAACTCTATCTGCAAAACATCAAGGAGCTATCTTTCATGGTGACTGTCCAGAAACTAACAAATATATGTCCGTAAAATGTAAAAAGGGCGGTGAAAATTGCACTGGACAAAAAATGTACATGCACCACAAGGATAATAAAACAACAGGTGACAAAATTGCCGTCAAGAATCCAAAAGAGTACACTGCGAAAAATGTGCACAATCTTCTAGCTTCTAGCGGACAAACATACTTTCTGCAAAGGAAGTGAATTACAAATATATTGATTGATGACCAGCTTCTACACATTATCAGTGGGATCTCTTTCTGATTCTTCAGCCTTCTTTCCAGCAGCCAAACGTTCAGATGCCAATCTTTCTTCAAGTGCTCTGGCACCTCTTTCCCTGCATTTTACGAGTGAACCACGTAAAATAACTATGAGGTGACCAATTAATTAAATGAACCTTCGTACAATAAGAACATGAAAATCTATCCTTCTAACTGTAATATACAACATCAGCTTGCAAGATGTAAAGCAGAAGAATAACTAAGAGATACAAAGCTATGCTTCAGTAACCCATCCTGTGTCCTTGGAATGGCATAACTATTCCTAATTTCTCACAAATAACATGCGCGAGAAAATTTCTTTTGTAGGAGCTCCAGTTAAATAGAAAGTGATGTTCACTTATCCATGCATCCAAAACAACTCATTCATTTATTATGAAAGACTTAACTTATTTCAGACTGGAGCACGTCCAGGATAAACTCTCATTTGATAATGTTTAAGATACAAATGTGTGTAAAATTTAGAACTAACAATTATAAAATAAATGTCAGAAACTCTTGAATAAAATATGAGGTGTAGTTTTCTCATCTAGAGCAAACTGCAAATAGGATAGCACTTTTCTATGACCATGTGTCCTGCATCTAGCACCCAACTTAGTCTATCTTCTTTAGTACTTGGGACAAAAATCAATACATAGATATCCAATGAAAAGGAACTGAATTTTCTAGAATACGTGCATATACTTATCTAATCAGTTCTGGGGAATTTTGATAAAGCACTGGCAAGATATATTACAAAAATTATCGCTATACCTCCTCCTTGATGCTTCAATGGGATCAGAACCAGGCAATGTGGAACCACCTACAGTATAGCCGCTTTCCTCATTAGAAATATCAGATCTTCTACCACAAAGCATCCGCTCAAATATTGTTGCAATCGGATCAATGACTGGTCTGCATTACATCCAATGAGATGTCATTGTGGGATTACTGAGAACACAGACTAATTAAGAGAAGTAGTCCATAGCAAGAGGGAAAATTGGAAAATACCTCAAAAATTCAGGGAAGAAAGAAGAGAAGGAAAATTCATCACTTGGATCACCCTTCAGCTTTGTCTCTGGTTTCTTCTGCCAGTATCTTAGGTAAATCCAGCCTAAATATGTCCCAAATACTATTGTTGGAAGGTATGATACCGAATCTGCCGTGAAAAAGCTTATAACAATTGAGAGCAACAATGCAAGGGAAGGCAACCACTGCAAAGAGTTCGAACAGCAATCCCAAGTGATGTTAGACCACATTTTAAGTTATGAGATAATAGTGTCTGGAGATGCCTGTTAAAATCAAATTGGTAATGCCAGTGCTTGTACCTTTGCTTTCAGTTTCAAAATAGACAACTCTTGATCGGGCATGATTTGTTTGACACCAACTAAGAAACCAGAAAGAACTCCTTGGAAGCCGGAAATAGGCATATAACTGACAAATAAGATAGGCAGAGGCATAAATTCAGAAGTTATGCAGTACTTCCTATAAACTTTAAAAGAGTTCAGACTAAAGCATACACAACTGTGCTTGTGCAGAGACAAGACAAGGAATCCATATATATGAAGACAACCGGAAACAAAATAAGCAGGTCTAATTCATAGGGAAACTCCTCTGAGTCACTAACTCCTACACCCTAAACTAATAACACAATAACCAGGGAGGCGGAGAGTAATCAGGCAAGCAAAGTAAATCACTGATAGTATCAAGTCCATGCAACTTACAGGTAGATTTCTAGTCTTGTTATGTAGTACAATGATATAGCTGTGATGAAGACAAAGACCGACGTCAAAAAGTTGACAACAAAGATGAACTTCAAGAATTCCCTGGAACCCCAGATGGGCTCAAGCAGCTTTCCCAGGAAAAGAAGTCCGATAGTGCTGATGATCGCCTGGACATAGAAGGTGATGTCAAGGAGAATGATACAAAGAATAATGTTGAAGACAATTAACTGAATAAAAGTGTGCTCTCCTTAACAACTTAAATTTTTAGATGAAATAGTGACACACGTCAACATGGTATGGTCCTAGTTCAAGCCTCACCACCACCTACTATCAAAAAGAATTTTCACGTGCTTGGCCATGAAAAAGAATCAGGCCCGAACGTGAATGGCATGTTGAAGACATAAGTAAACAAAAGTATGCTCTCTCTAACAGCTTAAGCTTTTGGACGATATAGTTACGAACTTCAATAAATACAAAAAATATAACTTGTTAAAAACGTGAGTCCTCGGGCTTCTCTTTATGGCAGCGGAAACGCAAATTAGAACCAAGACATAATTAGTTAATGTCAAAGAAGCATACCCCATACACTGTTTGTTCAGTGTAACCAGCTGTTATAAGATTCCATGCAAATGGAATAGTCCTGCAATAAACAGAAAAGATCAAACCTAAGAAACAGTTCCGCAGAAGGGATACAACTGTTTTCCCAGATTATAACAGTATACATAATGCCCTAGTAGTATAGGATGTCTTAGGTCACAAGTTTTGAGAAATCTCCCAGCCCTACTGATACAGGATTACAGAGCAGAAATGACCATCTCTCCGGAAAACTCGTTGAAGATCCCTTTCCAGTAAGTAGGTGGTCAAGGCTGGATCTACTGAGTATAGTCTCACTATGAGAAAGGGGATAATTTTTTCTGGCTGCATGTAAAAGTTACTTTGCACCACCAGATCTCCTGTTCAAAATATTAAATAACGCATAACTTCAACCTTGACATGCATACAGCTTGACTGCTTTATATTATATTTGACAACAAAAACAACTATGCCTCGGTACCAAACATGTTGGGTTGGCTATATGAATCCGCACTAAGAATGTTACTCCATTTATATGTATTTACATACGAAAAAGAAACTGTTTTTTTATAAAGACATAAGAGAAAGAAATTGTGGTTACTAACATGCAATTGGCATGAAACGTTGCTGTAAGACCCATGTATTAAGAAGCTTACGAGGCAATAGCAAAAATCTTTATACTACAACAATAACAACCATGCTTAATTACCAGCAAGTTGCTTTGGCTATATGAATCCTCAAAATGAATATTCTATTTGCTATTCTAAATCATGACAATAGCTACTTATTACTTTTAATTCCGTCCCCTCCCCCACCTTATTGAGTGGAGCATATTACAAGTTTGATAAGATATTAATAAAGGAGGGGCGGTTAAAAAAGGAAAAAGGAAAAAAGAAAAGATAAAATAAATGGAAGGTGTTTGAAGATTCAAAGGCAAGTTTTTTCAAAACTATATCCCAGGCAAAATTCCCAAGGAAAATGGAAATTGCCATTAATAGTCATAAGATGGGCATTGAGCCTTCTGCATGGATGGAGCACGGGACTGATGATTGAAATCGTACATGGTGTCGCCCAAAAAAGGTTACTTTTGTTGCTTCTTTTGCTCTTCTACATAGTTGTCTAAGAATTAAAGTGTCTCCAAATTACGAAAGAGATCCCAAATCTTTCTGATTTGACTTGTTTCAAATGTGCCATGTCAGTTTCCAAAACAAGCTTGTGCTTCTTTCTCAAGGCAAGTAAATAGTAGGGGACGTCTATTGTTCTTTGGATATCCAGAGTTCTAGACTGCAAGTCGAGTCAGTTGTAATCTAGGCTTTCATACTTCATGATATTTGTTGATGACTATTCTCATTGCACCATGTTACGTCCAATAAAAAGAAGATTTGAGTTATTTTTATCCTCCAAATTTCTTATGCTAACATCTTTTGATAAGTAATGACGATTTTTATTAATGATACAACACTAAGGGGTCGTTTAGTTTAGAGACAAGTTATGCAGGGATTAATAAGGTAGGGATTAGTAATGCAGGGATTGTAATGTAAGGATTAGTTACGTAGGGGTTGTAATGAAGGGATTAGTATGTAACCTAAGGAATAATAATGCATGAATTGTAATGTAAGAATTAATATTTTGTTTGCTTTTAAAAAAATTGTTTAAACATGAGGGTTATTTTGGTCATTTTATTGTTTTAATCCATGTATTACTTTTTGATACGAAAATAACAAATAAATCATAGATTAAAGCAATAAAATGACAAAATAACCCTCAAGTTTTTTGATAAAGTATAAATTTCATTAAAAGAAGGGGGAAATCGTGTCATATTCAAGAAGTATACCAAAAAGATAGAAAACTTTACAACATGGTTTTCTACAAAATAA